GCTAATGGGGCCTCCTGCTGCCGCCGCGCCGCCGGAGCCCGATTTCTGTTCTTATCCTGAAGCAAAGTTCTTAACCTGAAGCACTATTTCTGGGCTAGCGGAGTGTGTAACCTGAAGCGTATGTAACCCGAGGTACCACTGCACTGGGATCTGGGACAAGAAGATTGTACCCTTTTGGTCACCGTCACCTCTCCCAGCCGCACTTTGATCTCGCCAGCCCTGCGCACTGGGGGTTGGGGAGGAACGCAGGAAGAGAGAAAGACTACATATCTGCAAGAAATATGACGGTCCCTTCATAACTGATTCTCCTGCAGTCCCCACCATCTCAGATTTGGAGAGGGGCGTGTCTCTGAGTCTGCTGCCTGCAGAACGGTGGGCAGGCTACACGGGAAGCAGAACTTGGCAGCATGGTTGGGTTGCCATGGCGTCTCCAGGGATACAACGCGGCGAGTATAATTCAATGTGATTGCCTGGTATCCCTGCGATATTCGTTGCTGATCACGTTGGGAAGCAGGTGGGGGCGTTGTTTGGGGAAGGGCAGGTCCTGGGGGGCCTGCCAGAGGGCAGTGTCTTGGTGGCATAGCTGTCAACTTTTTTCCCCTTTTTTAAGGGAAATTCCCTTATTCCAAATAGGATTCCTCGCGAGAAAAGGGAAAAGTTGACAGCTGTCTTGGTGGAGGTGGGAAGATGGAAGTACGAGATAAAGGACTCGTCTTCTTCAGTGTGAGGAATGGAGTCAGAGGGTTAGGGAGCCTCTTCCCCCCAGGGGGTCACTTGGGAAGCTCGCGTCTTGATTTCCCCATGAATACAGTGGTACCTCAGGTTACATCCGCTTCAGGTTACATACGCTTCAGGTTACAGACTCCGATAACCCAGAAATAATGCTTCAGGTTAAGAACTTTGCTTCAGGTTGAGAACAGAAATCGTGCTCCGGAGGCGTGGCGGCAGCAGGAGGCCCCATTAGCTAAAGTGGTGCTTCAGGTTAAGAACAGTTTCAGGTCAAGTACGGACCTCCGGAAGGAATTAAGTACTTAACCCGAGGTACCACTGTACTTCCCCACCTTCCGAATGGGCAGTGGAAGCCTTAAAAGGTGAATGCCATGGGAGACGGATTAGAATCAACTTGAGCACTCAGGGAGGGAGAAAAATAAATATCGAGCTAAGCTTGATAGTGAGCGCAGCGGTGTCAACTTATTCCACACCCCTTATTTTAATTATTTTCACCCAGAAACTTCTCATTTTGTAGGCCTTTTTCCTAACCTTGGCTCACATCTATCTTCCCCCCCTGATTGTCAGCTTTTACTGACAAATCCTAAGGGCTGCTTCCAGCTTCCCCTTCGTTCCCAATCCAGTTACACTCCAGAATGTGATTCACTACACCAGATTAGATGGTGGTCGAGTTCCCCCAGCTTTATTGCTGGAACTAAATCCGCTCAAAACCTCGGGGTAAATTGGTAGGTTTGCCACAAACTCCAGGATCATTTTGAAGCAGGGATCTGTAATAAGTGACGAGGAGAAGTCTCTACTTTTGTTTACAGATTTACCTGAGCTATGGAGCTCACCAAATCCTCTGGAGGGCTATAAAATACTTTCTTTTTAAAAAGTAACTTAGCTGAAAGGTCAAAGGCGTTAAATGTGCAGTGAGGGGAGCCCATTAAAAGGTGCTGGTTTATTTCACCAAAAGGATAGATGTATGATTCGACAGGAATGAAGGACTTAACAGTGCAATCAAAGAAAAAAACACTATATTAACATAATATGAGTCCTGCTGGATCAGGTGCATCTCACAGTGACTGACCAGATGCCTATTAGAATCCCACAAGCAGGACATGAATCCAACAGCGCTTGGTTTTGCGAGAGAAGAAGAGGGCAGATGCCGGAGACAGAACTTCATTATCTTTGACGGCTCTGTGTCAGATGGGATTGGGGAGCTGCAGCTTATTGCGCAGACGTGAGAGAAAAGTTCTGTGTGTTAGAATTCCTGCTTCTGCAGCAGTCTTTTTCCTCCATTTCATCTGATCACCTTAGAGGGGGAGAATGATGGGAACCAGGCAGAGGGCCTTCTCTGTAGTGGCACCCGCCCTGTGGAACGCCCTCCCACCAGATGTCAAAGAGAAGAACAACTACCAGACTTTTAGAAGACATCTGAAGGCAGCCCTGTTTAGGGAAGCTTTTAATGTTTAACAGACCACTGTATTTTAATACTTTGTTGGAAGCTGCCCGGAGTGGCTGGGGAAACCCAGCCAGATGGGCAGGGTATAAATAATAAATTATTATTATTATTAGACTAATGAGATTTTGGAGAAGGGGTATAGGTTCCCCACTCTTGCCCTGTGGCACGGGTTGCCAACACACACAGAATTTAAATTATATGGATATATTTATAACACTCTTTTTGCACAAATCCCAGAGCAAGGTGCAACATAAATTAAAACAGTATACAAATGACATAATTACATCAGCCAAGCAACGGGCGCCACTTAGAGGCCTTCCCTGGCAGCCACAGGATTCCACCACCACCCCACTCTTGCCCTTCTGAAATTAGACTTGAAAGAAGCCTTCAGTTGTGCTTGTGTGATTGCAATGGGGGGGGGTTGCGGTGTTTGTGCAGGTACATTTTCTCCAGTTTGCAGATGTGCCCATGGACCGGTTGGTAACCACCTGACTTTAAAGCTTCCAGACAATTAGAATTGGGTACCATGCAGCAAGTTGGGATTAAAGAGGAGTCTTTAGACTTGTTGACATAGGCATGTGTTTTACTTTGTTATGGGAGATCCAAGGAAGGAGCATTAGGAAACAAAGCCTTTATCTACCTGTCTTCAGCACAGAAACGCAAGAGTATAGGTTTTGCAAGCTCCAGGCTGAAAACATCTTTGCAATAGACTTGCCTTTGCTTGTAGATGCATGAAGGTAGAACAGTAAGCCAGTGGAATTGAGGTGGTTTTCCCGCTGAAGGTTTTTTCTGCATATGAATTACCTTAACGAAAGCAGCACAAAGCTAAGGAGTTCTCAGAAGTTTTATCCTATGCTTTTCCCTCCCCACCATCCAAATTTAGAATTTAGGGGGCAAGGCAAGCTCAGAGTTGTCATGGCAGAGCATGATGCATCTAGGATTATTTATTTATTGCATTTCTATTCCACTTTTTCCTCCAAGGAGCATACATGGTCCCCCCCCCCATCTCATTTAATCCCCACAACAACCCTGTGAGGTAGGTTAGGCTGAAAGGCAGTGACTGGCCCAATGTCACCAGGTGACCCAGCAAAACTACTTAGGCTAGAATAAATCACAGACACTTAGCTTTGCAAATAAGTGAAGATTTTACTTGCAGAGTTTCCAGAAGTTACACCCATTTGTTGGGGGTAAAATAAAGATGAGATAAGGTTCCAAACAACTTGAAAGAAAAGGACTTGATTTCCTTACAAAAGAGTCATGCAGTCTTTGGGTTAAAAAATATGCAGGCTATAAAATCTCCTTTTAGAGAGATTCAGTTGACTTGCAGGGAGCCATGGCTGCATGGCTGCTTCACTTGTTCCAGAAAGCATGAAGAGAGGAAAAAGGGGTGCAGAAGCTGCTGAGAGACTGCTGAGCCACACCCACTTGCCAGCTGAGCCTAGGGCAGTGTTTCCCAACCTTTTTTGGGCAAAGGCACACTTGTTTGATGAAAAAAATCTTGAGGCACACCACCATTACAGCCCCGTGATGTCAGCGCGCAGCGTCACGCCGGGAGGGAAGGGCGCCGGGGCGCTGCTGCTGCTGCTGCCGCCGCCGCTCCCGGCAGGCATGGGCCCAGCTGAGGCGGCGGCGGCTGTTGTGGTGGTGGCGGCGATAGCAGGCGGAGGAGGGGGCGGCGGCGGGGCCGAGGTGGCCGGCGGCGGCGGGGGAGGCGGCGGCGGGTGGAGCAGGAGGGCGGCCGAGGCCGGTGAGGGAGTAGGGTTGCCCGGGGCTTGAGGAGCCGTCGCCGGGAGTTTCTGCTGCTGTTGTTGCTGCTGCTGCCCGGACATGCCGGCCTCCTCCTCGTCCACTGTCTTGCGCTCCTCCCTTTTGCGCGCGCTGCCCCGCCGCCGCCCCATTGGCCGGGTCCTGTCAGCTGATCCTGTGTGTGTGTGTGAGGGGAGAATGGAGAGAGAAACCTCGGCACCACCACCGCGGAGCCGCCCCCGGCTCGACGCGGATCCTCGCCGCCGCCGCCCCGCCTCTCGCCGCCCGACTCGCCCGCCTCCCTCCCACGGCACACCAGGCAACGTCTCGCGGCACACTAGTGTGCCGCGGAACACCGGTTGGGAAACACTGGCCTAGGGCTCAGGTTAGCCCTTTCATGCACGCAAGTGTGAATAGGTAGCTGTATATTGCAACAAATTTTTACTTCAAAACTCCCTTAAGATGCTAACGTTCGAAAAAGTAGTTCCAGCTTGTTCTGATGCATTCTCTGCTCTTGAATATTCATAACATGGTTATAATTAAAATATATTATGGTAAAACATATATAGCGCACTGCTGTGGCATGCAATAGCAGCCTTAGTGAATTTGTCCTACTGTCTGTTAAAGGCATCCACGTCCCTGAGCTTTAAGACAGTTTACTCAGAAGTGTGCTGCAATGCCGCAGGTCTCACACAGCACTCAAAAGACCTGACTGGCCCCCTGGACCTTGTGCGACACCTTTGCTTTAAGATTTGGATATCCTTCAGCCTCTGCTAGTCATGTTTTGAATTTCACAGAGTCCCTATTTTAGTGCAGGTGTGGGGACACTGCCCATCAACCCCAGCAAGCACGGCCAATACCTGGAGGGCCAAAGGTATTGTTTCAGTGCCCTGTAATTTATTCTACACTTTCAATCTCGTGTTCTGGGTTGGTTACTGTCGGAAGCTAGACAGTGATTACACACGGCAGTGACTATTTTTATGACCTTGTTATGTTGTCTGCCGCCTGACGTACACTCACTGCTTTTTTTTAACGTTGTCTGCCAGCCTCCGTCACCTGCCTCTTCCCTCTTCATTTCCAGATGGTGTTGTCTACGCTCTAGGCGGGATGGGTGCAGACACCTCTCCACAAGCTCTGGTGCGAATGTATGACCCGGCAAAGGATCACTGGCAGCCCCTGCCTTCTATGCCCACCCCCTGCTATGGGGCCTCCACTTTCTTGCACGGGAGCAAGATCTACGTGATGGGTAAGAAGTAAGGAAGCAATGCTTAGTTGACTAATCGGCTAGATGGGCAAACTAAAACCATTATAATCGGCTCGCAGATCCCAAGAAAGACAAAAGCCAGAGTTGAGAGTGGGAGGGATGTGGCTTAGATGAAAAGCAGCAAGCAGGCAGGCAGGCAGGCAGGCAGACAGACAGACAGACAGACAGACAGCCCTGCTGGATCTTTACTCAAATCCAGGGCTGTGGCTATGGGAGAAGCAATAGCCTTTTGGGGTATTGAGGCTGTGAACCCCGCCAATGTAGGCTCAAGTTGTTATACAGTGGTACCTCGGGTTACATACGTTTCAGGTTACATATGCTTCAGGTTACAGACTCCGCTAACCCAGAAATAGTGCTTCAGGTTAAGAACTTTGCTTCAGGATGAGAACAGAAATTGTGCTCTGGCGGCACGGCGGCAACGGGAGGCCCCATTAGCTAAAGTGGTGCTTCAGGTTAAGAACAGTTTCAGGTTAAGAACGGACCTCCAGAACGAATTAAGTACTTAACCCGAGGTACCACTGTACAGGTGACTCTCCTACTTACAAGGTGATGTTCCAGGCCCCCGCACGCACAAACAGAATTGCGTAAAGTGGGGAGCACCCTCTAAACGCCCTCTCTGCTGCTCTCTCTTCAATCCATACCAAAAATACTGTATCCAAAAATATCCACAACTAGAATTGAAGCTCTGAGGCCAGCAGGAGTTTGGAGGACACACATGAAAGCAGGAAATCACATCAGCTGTTAAGTGGAGAGGCTGAGTAACCCCGCTTACCTGAAAAGTAACCCCTCTTATATCCGGCAGAACTGACATCCGAGTAGACATGGTGTGGGTTGCGCTATTAGTACCCAGGCCTTTCTCTCTGCACCAGAATCCTCAGCCACTGCCCTTTGGAACCAATACGGGTGGCTGAACTAGTATTTTGGTGTTTCCTTTTCCCACAGGAGGAAGGCAAGGCAAGCTGCCCGTAACGGCCTTCGAAGCCCTGGATCTGGAAGTGAGGAGCTGGACCCGCTACCCGAGTGTGCCCAGCCGGCGTGCCTTTGCCAGCTGTGCCACGTTGGACGGCTGCTTTTTCAGCCTGGGAGGGCTGCAGCAGCCGGGACCCCACAACTTCTACTCCCGGCCCCACTTTGTCAACACTGTGGAGATGTTTGACTTGGAGGAGGGTAAGCTGGAGTCATGTTGTGCCTGTTTAAAGAAAAGTGGGTTTAACGCAGAGACTGCGGTGGATTGACAGCAACTCTTGCCTGAAAGTCATGGCACAACAGCCCTAAGCAACTCAGCAACTCATTGTGTTTCAGCCCTAGTCACACGTTCACTTCCCAGGCAATACCATATAAGGCAGCCATCTTGAACTCTGGTCCTCTCCATGTTATTGGACTGCAGCTTCCATCACCCCTGGCTGAAAACATCATAGCAATAGACTTCCCTTTACATGAAGGCTAAGATGGCTGAAGATGATGGGAACTTCAGGTCAATAACATCTGGGCACCAAAGACTGATGAGCTCCGACATAAGGCCTTCCCTGGCTATCCAGCATCACATTTCACCGCAGAGTGAGTGAAGACAGGGAACTGAACTCCCTGAGATTAACTGATTATTGCCCCTGCTTAAGACGGGTGGATAGGGACGCGGGTGGTGCTGTGGGTTAAACCACAGAGCCTAGGACTTGTCGATCAGAAGGTTGGCAGTTTGAATCCCCGCAACAGGGTGAGCTCCCATTGCTCGGTCCCTGCTCCTGCCAACCTAGCAGTTCAAAAGCACGTCAAAGTGCAAGTAGATAAATAGGTACTGCTCCAGCGGGAAGGTAAACGGCCTTTCCGTGCGCTGCTCTGGTTCGCCAGAAGCGGCTTAGTCATGCTAAGTCACATGACCCGGCTTAGTCACATGACCCGGAAGCTGTACACCGGCTCCCTCGGCCAATAAAGCGAGATGAGTGCTGCAACCCCAGAGTCGGCCACGACTGGACCTAATGGTCAGGGGTCCCGTTACCTTTTAAGATGGGTGGATAAGGATTGTGAGTCGTCTCTCCGTTAAACTATCTTGTCCATGTCAAGAGATGCAAATACCCAAATTAGAGCCCTTTATCCAAGATCCATCTTGGCATTCATAGGTTCTTGGCCAACTGAGTTGTCCTCCCCTTTAGTCTTAGTTCCTCTCCCTCCACAGTGAGCTGAGTTCTTCCTCTCCGCCATCTCCCACCCAGGGTCCTGGAATCGGCTGAGCCGTGCCATCCGCATGAGGGACAAGAGGGCTGACTTCGTGGCTGGACGCTTGGGTGGCCGCGTGGTAGCAGCAGGCGGCCTTGGTAAGTGTGGCAGATGGGCCACTTCTGTGCTCTTGAGGTGTGCAGAAGATGGGGATGCACAAAAACTTGTCCCAAGCTGGGGATATATTGCATTGCATGTGAGATCAAGCCCCTGGACTTGAGGGCTTGTTGGGTGGAATGCAACTCCTTGAAACAAGCAGACCTGCACCATCTCTTCCAAGTGTGTCATCTTCCCTTACCTGCCGAGAGACATGGATCTGATTTGTGAAGTTGCTTCTTTCTGCCTCATTGTCTGGGTCTCTCTCTATGCGTTCCTGTTCTGGATTAGCCTGCAACAGTCCCTGATTCTATGCACTATGAAAAGATAAGAGCAGCCTGGTGGAGCAGGCCAGTGCCCTATCTAATACAACTTCCTGTTCTTACAGTGACCAATCATATGCATTTTGGAATCAGTCACTCAGAAGCAGGACTTGAGTGCAATACTTGTGATTCCCAGCAATTAGCATTCAGAGGTTTACTGCTTCCACCAACCAGGAGAGCTATAGAGATGGCTTCCCCTGCGTCTGGCAACCAGGGTATTGACTCTGTTTCTGAACATCAAGGCTAATACAGTTCTCGTACAACTACATCGGTGTGCACAGGGTTTTCAGGTATTCCCTCCCCTGCAAGCTACCATTTTGGCAGCAGTTGGCCCAACCCATTTCACATACCATGGTTAGCCGTAAGCCACAGCTCACCGGGGGGGGGGGAAACAGCACACAAATGATAGAGCACACTGCATGAGCGCTGGTTCACATGTCACACTAAGGCAAGGTTGTGGTTGGTCGCTCTTTGTTCCAGGCCAGGGAGGGCAAAATGGGAACAATGTGAGCAGTTCAGTTTGGCTTACTGTGATGTGCGAACTAGCCCATTACATGAACAGGAATTTAGCTGTCCCTAAACACAGGATAGAGGGACGCGGGTGGCACTATGGGTTAAACCACAGAGCCTAGGACTTGCTGATCAGAAGGTTGGCGGTTTGAATCCCCGCACTGGGGTGAGCTCCCGTTGCTCTGTCCCAGCTCCTGCCAACCTAGCAGTTCGAAAGCACATCAAAGTGCAAGTAGATAAATAGGTACTGCTCCAGCAGGAAGGTAAACAGCGTTTCCATGTGCTGCTCTGGTTCGCCAGAAGCGGCTTAGTCATGCTGGCCACATGACCCGGAAGCTGTATACCGGCTCCCTTGGCCAGTAAAGCAAGATGAGCGCCACAACTCCAGAGTCGGCCACGACTGGACCTAATGGTCAGGGGTCCCTTAACCCTTTACATTTAAACACAGGATAACTGCCTTTTGGTTGATAGACTCAAAGTGAGGGAGAAAGGGGCAGTTTTCCATTTTTGCAATCTGTGCCAGGAACACATCTCTAGAACCAAACGCCTTTGGAAGGATGTGTTGGGAGGCCATGTTGCTACCTAACATGAATGAGTGGGACAGGCATTATAGCAGGAGAAAATACAGGGGGGGTTGAGCCTTCCCTTCCTTCTGCACTGAATCTTGTAGGTCTTTCCTCTGCATTGTTGCAGTTTGCTCCTCCTCCTCCACCTCTTGCACAAACTATTAGGGCAGCCACTGATTCACTCATCTTCTTAGATACAGGTAAGTTTTGCATACCATTTTCTCAATGGAAATATATGCTGCATATATATGCCTTAGGGTCCGTTTCAAGCATGGGAAATATTGCCTTTCAGATATTGTTGGACTACAAATCCTATCATCCCTTGACAATGGGCCATGCTGGCTGGGGCCACCATTGGGAGGGCCAACAATTCCCCATCTCTGGGCTAAATGCTTTGCTACATGTCACTGAGACTGAGCATGGGGAGAGAGTGCCTTTAGCGACCTCTGTTTTTTGCAGAAACCTCCTCTTTCTGTCAACTTCCTTGCCTTTCTTAAACACTACCCTAGATGTCCTCACAAAATACAATAATAAAGAAGGCATAAAAGTTAAACTGCAAAACTCCAACAAGGTTGTCTTTGAAATGAATGAGAGTTAGAGGCAGCAATTACCTGAAAATGTGCCGTCTGAATGCTTTCAGCATTGGGTCTCTGGCTTTCATTTACACCCTCTCGGTGTAGCTGGCAGTCCTGGGCTGCTGGCAAAGAGGCCTGCTGTGAGAAAGCATGCCAGGATCCGTTTGCACTGTTTCTGGCGTCAGTTTGAGTTCCAAATCCCTGCCTTTCATAAACATCCCCTTGGCCTGTAAACGAAACCTTTCGTTCCTGCTGCAGCAGGATGTGCAATTGTTGTTCATGGGAGATGTTTGCCTTGGAGCTTGGCTCAGCCATAGCGTACTCTTGTACTAGTGAAGTCAGTAGATATGCCAGATTTTTTATTTTTTGCAATTGCTGACACCAACTACCGCTTGGCTCATGGATCCGCCTCTCCCCCCCCCCCCCCCCGCTTTTTCAGGGAACCAGTCAAGTGCTCTTGGATCTGTGGAAGGATTTAACTTGGCGAGGAAGAAATGGGAGCCCTTGCCGCCCATGCCCACCGGCCGCTGCTCCTGTTCCAGCTTGGAGGCTGCCAACCTGCTCTTTGTGATCGGAGGGGTGGCCCAGGGTCCCAGCAGCGCCGTGGAGGCCCTGTGCCTTCAGGAAGGCGTCTGAGCGATGCTTGCCGGCGGAGAGATTTCTTCTGCCAATACAAGCCGAGAGGACTAAAGTGCCTGACGACGACGGGACATGCATACAAGGGAGCAGGGAGGAGAGCATGTGCTTCGTTGCCGGCGCGGCGCCCTGCAGCAGCGACCTTTCCCTTTGCTGTTCTCCAAGTAGCTCATTTCATCTTTGCAAAGCATAGAGTAGTAGCTCAGAGACTGGGGCAGCCCTGCACTGTCAGCAGGGCACAGGCGAAGCGCCTTAGCAGCGCACCCAGCCAGCCGAAGCGAGGTCTACTACTTTCTCAGTGCCACGGCAGGCGCAGAAGGTCCCCTGCTTCCCAGCCATGGCTTCTTCATTGCGTGCAGCCTTCCGACTCCAAAGGAACATGGCGAGAATATGGGCTGCGCCGTGCTCAGGTTGAAGCGGCAGAGCGATGGCCAACCAGAATGCTCCATTCAGCACCCTCCCCTTTCATTGTCTGTCCCGCTGTTGAACTTTAGATTGTAAGCTCTCTGGGGCACAGGCCTCCCCTCCCCTTTCCTCCCTCTTTGCTTATGCTACTCCGTAAACTCGCCATGTATAACGGATATCAGTAGTGCTATATTGACAGCTCACGTTCTACTGCACCGCTGTTAAGGCTGCCAGTAAAAGGGCGAGCAATGAGCCTGGGAGACGAACGCAGCTGTGAAGCAGCCATACAGCCCAAGACACAGCTCCACCTGCATTCTTGCCATGCTCATTGGGCTGCGTGGGTCTGGCCCTTAACTCCGAAGACAGCAAGGTTTCCTCAGCAGGCTCTGGGGAGGAGCGGTGGAAGGTGCAGGCACAAAGCGGAGCAGGCACTCCAGTGTTTCTGCTTTTGAGTTGCCATTGCTATCCTTGCGCTGATGTCTTTTACGCTGCACAGCTGAGTTGACTCCAGGAAGGCCGGGTGCAGCCACGACACCCTCTTGTGTGTTCCTAACTTGGTCTGTGTCTCATGTAGCACATAAGGTGCCCTCTAGCCCAGTGCCTAGGAGGTGGTGTAGCACCTCATGCCAATAAAACCAGTGGATTTTTTTCTCTCTCTCCTGGTTTTCTGTCTCCTAAAAATGGGTCTTGTTCTGAGATGTGCTCCACATGCCTAAGCTGCTGTCTGCACTTAACTCTTAGCTGCTGCTGGTAAGCAGTCATTGTAAGATCAATTGCTAACAGGTTGTCAAGCATCGACATAGGTGAGAGGGAGAGTGCCAAAAGGCAGATTTAAAGCTCATGTTGGACAAAGTTGTTAAGGCCCAACAGCAGCTTTAATTCTCCCCAGTCCTCACAATCTGTCAGATGCAGCTCAGCACTCAAACGCAGAGAGGAGCAGGAAGTTTAATTCTTTATTCAAGAAAACAGCAAAGAACGCAGAGAAGCCTCAAGGCAGGGCCAGCTTCCATAGCGCAGTTGCCAGGAATGACAGTTCCTGTTTCCCATTTCCCCCTAAGATCCCCTCCTCTTCCGGAGGTTGCCCACGTTGGCGTACACTAAGGCAAGAGCGAACTCTTGCTCATGGTTCAGCCACATGCATGTTCTTGGAGAAAGGTGGGGGGGAAGAGTTGAATTAGCAAGCTCCTGAGAAGCTTCATGTGCTGAGTCTGAACTGCTTTCTGCCCTTGGCTCTTCCCTCTCGCTCATGCCTGTTGCTTTTTTTTTTTAAAGCAGCCAACCATTCCTTCATTTTCTGACCTGTCCTCAGTGCCCCACCATTTCCGGTGCCCTGAACCTTCCTCCTCTGAGGCTTCCCTAGGGAGTTCGCCAGCTGGTGCCTCCTGCCGCTTCTCGTCATCCAGCCAGTCTCCTCCTCTAACCGGACATTGTCCAAGCAGCCTCAAACTGTAGCGGCCCACCTGCAATCTCTGTTCAGCCCTGTGCATTGCCCTGTGTGACCTTGGAGACAAGCAGGAAGGGGAGCTTGTCATGCTCCTGGGATTTTCCTGCAGCCTCTTGCCCTCCCCGCTTCTGCTTCAGCCTCTGAATCTAAGCTGCTCCCTGTCACAGGCTCTCCTTGCTCACTAAAGCCTGTTACTTCTTCAGCATCCAACCCCCCCCCCCTACCTCTGATCTCTCTTCAGTGTTCCCCACCAATCCCCGGGCTCTGAGCCTTCCCCCTCTGGGGCTCCCGTGTTTGGTGCCTATTCGTCCCTACAAAACAACCCTTTGTGCTTAGTCTTGAAAACAAAACAGTAGAATTAAACAAGCATGCCTCCGCACAACTCTTCTGACCGGCAAAACAACTCCGTGGCCAAAATCAAGAGTTTTGTGGCAAAAGATTACCTGGCAGAGGGGAAATAAAGGGCATGCAAAACCCGTAGCATCCGCTTGTGTCACAGTCCAGCAAGATTTTATTTTATTTTTTCCCCATATTTCACCTTGTACAAAGGAGCATTTAACTGTTCTTGGAGATAACAGAGAAACTCCCACGTGTGATCAGCAATTGTGCCAGTGCAAACAGTCTGAGACAGTCCACCGGGTTGGCCTGTGGGTGCCAGGGCGCACATAAATGGGTCCTGGAGCAAAGGCTTCTGGGGTCTTGCTGGTATCTGTTGCGGTGGGCTCACACGAGCCTGGAACGGTGGCGGGCTCACTGGAGACAGGGGCGTTGGGCTCACTGGAGACAGGCTTGGTGGGCTCACTGGAGACAGGCTTGGTGGGCTCAACATCTTTCACCACCTCACGCTTGAATGTCCTGAGGATGGGTTCATACAAAGAGTAGCTCCGGTAAGTGTGCTGGTAGGTGGTGCTGGGTGTGCGTTGCAGGGGCTGCCCTTGCCTGTGGGAGTGATGAACTAACACCTGGGGGACCTTTTCTCTGGAGTGGAAGTCATACTGGTAGCTTGAGATGAGGGGTCTCTCACGTCTTAACTCCTCCTTCAAGGGAACCCAGTCAATTAAGTTCTTGGTGTTGGGAAGGCTTCCCTCTATTCTTCTCCTTCCTAAGCCCTGCCAGGAAACAATGACCAGACAGTTCACACCTGCACTGTGAAAGGAGCCACCTAGCACACCATTTCAAACGCAGAACAAGAAGAAGCCAGGAGGTTACCAAGGGTGGAAGACAGGTGCGATATTCTGAGAGCAGGGGAGGGCACTGGAGGAAACCCTTGCCACATTTAATCAAAACTAGTGACGGGTGAACTACCTTGGAATCGAGGGACAAAATTTGCGACTGATCAAGTGCTTGGCGTCTCTCACAAAAGTTTAGAAGAAGGTTCACAACTCTGTGATTGCTTTTTAAAAATTTAATCTGTCTTCACACCAAGCTGAAACTCCTGCCCTCAGTACTTGATCCTGCATATAGTAACCCACAAGTTAGCCAGTATGCCACAAATTGCAATTATTTGGCATTCTGGTGCAAATTTCTCCTGATAAACACATTCCGTGCAGGGTTTTTCTTTTACTAATATACACATTTTTGCAACCAGTTTATCCTAACGCATTTTGTATGCTATTCTCACGAATATATGCATTTCCCCCCTACACATTACTTGGCTGGAGAACTGCGCTGCAAAATTCGAATGTGCAAATTTCAAAGGATGGCTGTGCTTTGGTTCTCATAATGTTTCAGAACGCGTGGTTTTCACTAGATTAACCTTTGAGTTCAAGCTTAGTCGACTTTCCCTCCCAGCACCAGGGAGGAATCTTACGGAGCACACCTGCCTTAACAAAGGATGATAATAATAATAATAAACTTTATTTATACCCTGCCCTCCCCAGCCAAGACCGGGCTCAGGGCGGCTAACAACCAATAATAAAAACAAGTTGATTAAAATACAATTTAAAAAACCAAGATTAAAATACAACATTAAAACATTAGGATGCAGCCTCTTCACAGGAGGAGAAAGGAAAAAGAAAGAGGGGGAGGGAATCAAATTGATTCTAAGCCAAAGGCCAGGTGGAACAACTCTGTCTTACAGGCCCTGCAGAAAGAAATCAGATCCTGCAGGGCCCTGGTCTCATGAGGCAGAGCGTTCCACCAGGCCGGAGCCAGAGTTGAGAAGGCCCTGGCTCTGGTGGAGGCTAATCTAACTTCCTTAGGGCCCGGGACCTCTAGGGTGTTGCTATTTATGGACCTTGAGGTCCTCCGTGGGGCATACCGGGAGAGGCAGTCCCATAGGTACGAGGGTCCTAGGCCGCGAAGGGCTTTAACGATCAAAACCAGCACCTTAAATCTGACCCTGTACTCCACCGGGAGCCAGTGCAGCTGGAAAAGCACTGGATGAATATGCTCCCATGGCAGAGACCCCGTGAGGAGCCTCGCTGCAGCATTCTGCACCCGCTGGGGTTTCTGGGACAGCTTCAAGGGCAGCCCCGCGTAGAGCGAAGTACAGTAGTCAAGCCTGGAGGTGACCGTCACATGGATCACTGTGGCCAGGTTGGGGCGGGAAAGGTAAGGGACCTGATGTGGTATGGAGCACTCCAGTGATGAACCTAACCCTTGCCCAGCTCTGTCCTGTTCTTGCGGCACCTGACCCTGAATGCATCGAGTGTATCAGGCACCCACTAGACGTGTAAGGCAAAGCCTCAGGCTACTTCGTGCAGCTAAGAGCACTTAACTAGTGCTTTTGCGGAGGCAGCCGGTTGGTGCCATCAGTTCCTGAGGGAGCCCTGGAGCCTGCCAAGGGAGAGCTAATCACATTAGGAATGAAACCGGTGTCTCTAATCAAGCACTCCTCTGATTAACTTCTCTACCGCCTCTATTGCTGCATAAGAGGAAAAGGACAAAAAAACCTTCCCCGCCCCCACACTCCCACAACCCCCCCCCCCCCGAAACCAATCACACTCACGTTCTCAAAATATGTAGCTGATCCTGGGAAGGCGTGCCTGTTGTCGTGCTTAGAGAATATGTGCTTTGAAGGGGTTTCCTGGAAAAGGGCACAAGCAAGATTAGCCCACGGCTCCCTGCCAGACGCCACACCCTGCAGTTGTACCAGTGGGGTAAAGATGGGATCTGCTTTCAAGCACCAGGTGAGGGCAAATTTGGCCCAAAGGAGAGGGATTCGTACTGGGAAGCTATGGATTTCGGGTGCTGTAATCCAAGACGACTGGGGACCCAAGGCTTAGGAAAGCTGCTGTAGTCGGTAGGGTAGGATTAGCCCAGTTTTAGAGCCACAGTGTTCTGGTTTGCTTTGTATTCTGTTTTCACCCTCTGCCTGGTTCTCGCCTACCTTTTATTTCTAGTAAAGTTTCACAACTAGGCCATAAAACACTGCAATTGCAAGCCTTGGGGTTCTGGAATCCAGGCTACTGTTTAGATCAGAGTTGTAAGAGACCAACCCATTTTTTTTAATGAGATCTGGGAAAGACTTGCGAAATGTGGGCTGCCTTTACACACTGAGTAGCGTGTAAGGGAACTGCTTGTGAAACACGGGGTGAGTTGATCTCAGAGTTCCTGGGCTTTGGGAAGTTAGGGAGGGGAACTGCCAGGGTAATGAGCAAGCTGCTTTGATACTGGGGTGGGCGAAGGCAGCTAGAAGCTAGCCTTGCTTTCCCCAGCAAGTTTGTGTGTAGGTTGAGGCAATGAGTGCAGCTGTACTGGCTTGAAGCCTTAAGAAAAACAACAAAATGTTGGTGCGCCCCAGGTGCACCTTGGCTGCAAGAAGGAAGTGGGAGGACAATGGCAGCAACTACCTTAGATTAAGACTCAACCGGCAGCCCTGCAGAGCTGTTGAGTTGCAGTTGGGCAAGCAAGCGTTTGTGAAAGGCTCTCCTGAGCAACCTCACTTCTCCGCAACCTGGTCCTGGGATAATATAGGGTCTTATAGGTGGCAGATTCGCAGCTGGTGCAAATCCTACAAACAACGTATTATATACTGGCAGTAGTTAGCCCCACAAGCAGCCTAGTCACTGGACTTAACCATTCAGGGGTCCTTTATCTTACAGTAGCTGCAGCTTCCGGACCAACCTCAAGGGTAGCCCCACATTGCAGTAATCCAACCGTACGTTACTAATGCATGGACAAGTGTTGTCAAGCTATCCCTATCCAGTACATACCAGACTGGGCAGACTGGGGAAGACTTGGAATGGAATCCCCACTCAGTCACAATT